AATATAATTTGTTTTATATATGTATGTATTACATTTTAAAAATAAAATAAAGGAATCTTGTTATTGTCAAATAGATAGAAAAATTTCTGAGAGGGAAAAATAACATCTCAAGAATTCATGCGATATTTAAAAACATGGTACTATTATAACAGATGATCATTTCTCATTCTGAGAAATCCTAGAATATTCATTTCACAAATATATACTAGCAAAGCAGATATACCAGTATTTACTAAGTTACTGTAGGATAAACTCTTAATCGTTTTAGGAATAAAGGATAGAACAATTACATATGAAACAGAATAACATCTCTACCATTAAGTGTTAAGTTAGTGGAAAAGCCATTTGGTATATAATTAATATGCAAACTTTACTAAACTTTTTCTATCTCATCTCTCAACTGTATGTATATATGTATGTATATGTGTATGTGTGTGTATAATATATATATTGAGAGAAGAGAGAAGCTGCTGGATTGTTATGTACTTCAAACCAATAGCCTCTTCTTTTGGATATACAATATACACACTTCCATTTTCTTGTAAAATGACATGTGACTGATCCTGGCCCATGAAATGTCGAGATAGCGTATGTACTATTCCACAATACTCATAAAAAACTGCTCCTGGTGATCCTCAACTCTATTTCTCCATATGGCTGGATGTAACATCTAGATGACTTGGAAGCTACTGTTGAAAACGTACAGCCTCCACTAGCCAGATATGACTAAGAGTTGATCCCTTTCCTGTCAATAGATGTTGTTGAAGAGAAATAAACTTTATTATGTTAAGCAACTCAGTCAGGATTTACCTATACAATATTAACTTTTTATACAGACACACACAAAACACAGTTCTCTTAGTTGACTAGCACATATTGAGGGTGATAGTGATATTTTCTGTGTAGTTACAGCCTAGCTCACAGCAACCTCAAACTCCTGGGCTCAAGCGATCCTGCTGCCTCAGCCTCCCGAGTAGCTGGGACTACAGGCATGTGCCACCATGCCCTGCTAATTTTTTCTATATATATTAGTTGGCCAATTAATTTCTTTCTATTTATGGTAGAGACGAGGTCTTGCTCTTGCTGAAGGTGGTTTCGAACTCCTGACCTCGAGCAATCCGAGCAATCCACCCGCCTCTGCCTCCCAGAGAGCTAGGATTACAGGCGTGAGCCACCGCGCCCAGCCAACAGCTAGCATTAATATGTGCTTTATTCTACTAGACACTATGCAAAGAGCTCTACATGAATTATCTCATTTAATACTCACAACATCCCTACACAAAAGTCTTCTGCTATCTTGCTATTTTACAAAAAAGGAAGAGGAGGCCTAGAGCAGTAAAGTGATTTTCTAGCTAGCTCCTGACAAAGCTAGAATTTAAAAAATTTTTTTAAGCAACAAGGTCTCATTCTGTCACACAGGCCAGAGTGCAATGACACAATCAAAGCTCACTGCAGCCTCTAACTCCTGGGCTCAAGCCATCCTCCCACCTCATCCTCCCCTGTAGCTGGGATTACAGGTGAACGCACTACCATGCCCAGTTAGAGTTTGTCTTGCTCTAACAGACAAGGTCTTATACCACTACTCGTAGTTATATTGCCTTTCCTATTTATCTTCAAAGGTTTTTAAAAAGAAGATGTCGAACAATTGTTCTTCATTCCCTTGAAGCTACTAAAGAAGATACATACTTATATTTATGGCAGGAACAAATATGCTGAACATTAACTCATGATGAATAAGTGACAAAACACTGGAAAAAGGCTCAAATGCTAACCACGGTGCTTCTCAAGTCTATTCTTTTTGCTCCTCAAAAAGGTCATATAAGACTAACAATATACTAGGTGGTTGGGACATACTCAAAAAAAGGAGATGATCTCTATGTCATGATTATCACTAAACAGAATTTAAGAAGTCTATGCTAATAGATAAGGACTAGAAGATATGTGAGAAACAAATGCAGTTGATTTATTAGGTGGTGGGCAGCTCCTAAGTTATATTTTTTATTTTCTTGGTCTCTATTATTAATGTTGTTTTTTTTGAGACAGAGTCTCGCTTTCTTGCCTAGGCTAGAGTGAGTGCCATGGTGTCAGCCTAGCTCACAGCAACCTCAAACTCCTGGGCTCAAGCGTTCCTCCTGCCTCAGCCTCCTGAGTAGCTGGGACTACAGGCACGAGCCACCATGCCCGGCTGATTTTTATATATACATATATATATATATTAGTTGGCCAATTAATTTCTTTCTATTTTTATGGTAGAGACGGGGTCTCGCTCAGGCTGGTTTTGAATTCCTGACCATGAGCAATCCGCCCGCCTCGGCCTCCCAGAGTGCTAGGATTACAGGCGGGAGCCACTACGCCCAGCCTATTATTAATGTTTTAATTTGTACCTAAAACACAAATATAATTTACAATTCAGGTTGGGAATTTAACTGTTAGAGAAAATAATAGACTTACATGCTATATAAATAATATAAATACTTAAGCTGGGCCAGGCGTGGTGGCTCACTCCTTGTAATCCTAACACTCTGGGAGGCCAAGGCAGGCAGATCACTCAAGGTGCAGGCGGATCACTCAAGGTCAGGAGTTCGAAACCAGCCTGAGCAAGAGCGAGACCCCCATCTCTACTAAAAATAGAAAGAAATTAATTGGCCAACTAAAAATATATAGAAAAAATTAGCTGGGCATGCTGGCGTGTGCCTGTAGTCCCAGCTTCTCGAGAGGCTGAGGTAGCAGGATGCTTGAGCCCAGGAGTTTGAGGTTGCTGTGAGCTAGGCTGAGGCCACGGCACTCTAACACGGGCAAAAAGTGAGACTGTCTCGAAAAAAAAAAAAAAAATCAAATTATATAGTTATAATGGGTGAATTTTATGGTATTTCAATTATACCTCAATAAAGCTGTTTTTTAAAAGGGCTTAGATGTACCACTATCAAATCGCTATAAAAGAGCTTCTAAACACTCTCCATTTCTACATATTTCACCAGCTCATAGACAGGCACTAGTCTGTGGCCCACACTCTGAGAAGCACTGAGCTACCTGACTGACTTCTGTTAGGTTATGGCTAAAAGGCTTGGAGCAATCAATAGCTGTAACTGAAACTGGAATTTAAGCTATGCAAGTTTAACTTCTCTAAATATTTCATTAAATAAGAAATTTACAAGTATTATTGACAAACAGAAAATACACAAACATGGTCTATTGTGGAATAAAATCATAACTCATTACGAAATAACTAAATTAGATGCCTCTAGAGAACAAAAACTATTAAGTGGATATAAAATCGCTATAATTATAGATTATTTGAACTAATAAAACCCAAAATAATGAAAATTTAAATGTACAAATCAATAAATGAGATAAAATTTTATAATATTTTATAATTTTTGGATCAAATATCAGACATGTAAATCATTCTATGCATAGATTTGTTTCAGAGAAAGTCCTAACACATAAGCTATTTTCTATCCAACTAAGTGTAAACATGGGCTAAGTTTAACAAAAATTAGTAAGCACTTAATGCCTATGATGTGGTCTAAAATTTAAGTTCATTTTATAATAAACTGTAATTAACCAATTACAAAAAGTAATTGTATTTTTTATGGCTCTGGTAAAACAGACATGAAATAAATCCAGTTTTAAAGAGATCAAAGCAATCTGCTGAAGTTAACTTTTTTAGGAAAATTTAAATGATAAACTTTTTAAATGAAATTATTTTATTTTCAAGTCCAGAGTCCTATTTTTACTACAGTATTTCTCATTTGCAGGAGGAAAACAGATGCTCAATGTTTCAAGCATTACTGGGAAAAAAACAAACAATTATGATGACTAAGAAAAAACAAACTCAGGTTATAAAAAATCTTCACAGTTTATAAATCTCTTTCCATAAATAATTCAACTTCTTCAATAATCTACCCATTCCTTGAGCTCAGATTTTCTTCATACAGTAAGTATATATGAAGAAAATATAATACAATGAATCTACAGCTTTCAAAACCACAAGCAGCTCTGATGATACATTATTCTCTTATGAGGTTTTTGAATTGCCAAGTCAAAATTAAGTTTAAAAATGTTTCCATGAAATTTAACATGTGAGACCTGGATCTATGGAGCTTTGTTTTGAATTAAAGAACATCAACTTTAAACTGGAAATTAAATCAAATAAGAAGGGAAAAGCCAGGATACCTACGGTCATTCTTTTAATAAATATATTCCAGTAATATATAACAGTTCTAGTGCTATTGTTAAATTTGCCCCTTTAAATTTTTGCAGCTATTCTAGGAAAGTTGAAAAGATTTTACAGAGCCTTGTTGTCCTTCCCCTCATTACAACTACTCTTGATATTTTCTGACTCTCTCTGCACCTTATATTTTACATTAGATAAGAAGCTACACTTGTAGGAGTCCTCAAACTACAGCTCCCAGGCCACATGTGGGTGTTTTTGCCCATTTGTTTTTTTCACTTCAAAATAAGATATGTGCAGTGTGCATAGGAATTTGTTCATAGTTTTTTTTAAACTATAGTCTGGCCCTCCAAAGGTCTGAGGGACAGTGAACTGGCCCCCTGTTTAAAAAGTTTGAGGACCCCTGAGCTAGAGTAACAGTCCCAGAAGGAAAGCTAAAGAAGGAAACAAAAACCAGAAGCATTTACTCTTACTCCATTTCCTTTCTCTAGTGAAATGTCAACTCAATGGATACAGAATACCCTGCAGTACGGTATCTCCTACCACCTCTCCCTAACACATGTTCACTCTCCAAAAATGCATCTCCAAGATGCACTGGCTTTCCTGTAAGTATATTAAAATTTGATGTTTGTATGAGCAGAAAAGCAATTGTTATACAAATTAATTCCCAGACTAGTAATACACAAAGCTAAAATCTAATATCCATGAGTACTTGTAAAACCATTCAAAATACATTATTAGGACAGTTTTTAAACATATAGATATAAGTGGGGCTCATTGCTCTACAACTACAGTTTTAACAATTTATGCCCACATGTAATCTTACCCTTCTGGCTTTGTTTCCTAGACATTGCAGTGTCTTTGATCTCAAAAAATACAGAAGAAAATTATCTTTTTGCTCTGTGGTTCTGAGTGTAGGTATCTCTGATTTAAACGTCTGTAGTTAAAAGCGATGAATACAAAATCCTGGTTGTTCAAAATTCTGCTCACTAGCTGTTAATCCGCTTTCCTTCTCTGGTATCAACTTCTTGTCAGGAAGTATCGTTGCAAACACTCATGTCTCTTTTTCCAGGGAGATTCTAAAGGGAAAAACACAAACATATATTCACTATTATAATAATGGCTATCTATACAAAATTTCTAAGAGATATCCACAGGGGTTACTTTGTATTTCTCCAAACAAAACTAGGGGTTTTTTTTAAGTACTCTAGAAAGAATATAGCTGTTGAAAAGCAGTATTTTTCTCCCTAAGAAAACTTAATCTTAGAATCAGATCATCTTCTTAGTTTAGAAAGCATACTTTCTTAGTCTTATCTTCTGTATCTATCTCAAATACCTCATCCTCATCTCTGCTTCACAACTGAAAATAATACCTCTTACCACTCCCTAAGATCTTTCTTGCCACCTGATCTTCCCTTCCAAACCAAGAGTCTTTTCTCTTCCTCTAGAATTTCCTGTATCTAACCTCTCCTCCTCAGGCTTCCCAGTTCAAATACAGCTGTAAGAAACTTGGGCAGGGTGGGGTGCTGATGGGGAGAGTGCAAAGGAATTTTAATACGGAAAATTGAAAAAATAAAACAAAATTAGTCAATACTACAGGAAGTTTCTCTAAATAACAAAGATACAAATGCTATTTTTTCCATATTACTAAACATTTTAAAGATACATGCCCAAGATTTCTGGGTAAAGAAAGCATGATGAGGATTATAGAACTCTTACATCTGACAGGAGAAACATTTTACAAGAAGCAATGCAAGAAGGAAAGGAAAGTAGCCTTATATGAAATACTTTCCAAATTGAAAAGAGAAGGAAGAGTTAAGTTGGTAATCCTGGGAAAGTTTAAAAAATATATTCCATCAAGAGAAAAAAACCTCTACAAACCACAGTGGGACCTCAGGAAAAGCAGGACAAATAGCTGAGGCTCATGATCTTCCAGAACATTGAGCCCAGTTGGGAGAACCAGCCAAAGCCTATGGAAATACATGGAATATACCCCTGGATAGAGGGAGCTTGATAGGGCACATTTAATGAGATTTTAGAAAAAAGAATAGAATTCAGATGCACCACAAAGAACTGAAATCTTAAATGGCAAGCTGTTCATGACCTTTGCCTCCTCTGCTTAAAGAAACCGGTGCTGTGGGGTGCACATGTAGTCCCAGCTACTCAGAATGCAGAGGCAGGAGGATCACTTGAGCCCAGCAGTTCAAGACCACCCTGGGCGACAAAGCCAGACCAGATCTCATTTCAAAAAGAAGAAGAAGAAAAGAAGATGAAAACAACAATCAACAACTAACCTTAGTCCATAAGCTGGAATGGGGAAGATAGGTCTCAAAAAAGTTTATAAACATATCAAGGGTATTTCATCTATACTCTGTAGCTAAAAACAAAAGGTGTAACCAAAGCTGTTCACACACAACATAGAAAAGATAAATAAAAATAACACAGCAGTGCTCACTTTAGCAGTACATTTACCAAAACTGGAATGATACAAAAAAAATTAGCATGGCCTCTACATAAGGACGACATGCAATTTTGTGAAGCATCCCATATTAAAAGAAAAAAAATATGACACACCAACTATTAAACCTACTATAACAAAAGAGAAAGACAATGAGAGAGAAGAATTACCATGCAACAGATGAAGAATCCAATCTGTAAAATAATATAACCCCCAAAACCAAAATCAGATTCTCCCTTGAATATTTATTTGAATGCTTCAAATAAGAATTTGAATTCAATAAAATAAAAGCTAGAAAATAGATGATAAAAATAGAATAAAAAGAAAGCAGATTGCAAAGTTAAACAAAAACTAAAAAAACACCATTAAGAAAGAAGTCAGCCGGGCGCAGTGGCTCACGCCTGTAATCCTAGCTCTCTGGGAGGCTGAGGCGGGCGGATTGCTCGAGGTCAGGAGTTCGAAACCAGCCTGAGCAAGAGCCAGACCCCGTCTCTACTATAAATAGAAACAAATTCATTGGCCAACTAATATATATAGAAAATTAGCCGGGCATGGTGGCGCATGCCTGTAGTCCCAGCTACTCGGGAGGCTGAGGCAGAAGGATTACTTGAGCCCAGGAGTTTGAGGTTGCTGTGAGCTAGGCTGACGCCACGGCACTCACTCTAGCCTGGTCAACAAGCGAGACTCTGTCTCAAAAAAAAAAAAAAGAAAGAAGTCAGAAATAGCAAGACGCAGAATAGACACATGAAAATAGAATGAATGGAATGAAGGAAAGCCTTCAGAAGAAAAAGAAACAGATTAAAAGCAACTGGAAGATAATATTACAGCACAAAAAAATGATCTGATCTAAGGATAACTGGAATCAACATAGGGACTCAAAAATTATAGGACTCAATAAAGGGAACAGCAAAAGCATTCACAGATAATATACAATAAAATTCCCTTGAAATAAGAAAGATCTGAATCTGTTCCTTCTCTACCACTTCCAATCCATCTGAAAAAATCCCATCTGTTCTACCTTTAAAACACACATCCAGAACTAGACCACTTCTCACCACCTCCACTGCTACCCCTCTTGTCTAGGTCACAACCATCTCTCACCTATACACAACCATCTATCACCTATACTTCTCACCACCTCCACTGCTACCCCTCTTGTCTAGGTCACAACCATCTCTCACCTCCACTGCTACCCCTCTTGTCTAGGTCACAACCATCTCTCACCTATCTCTCACAACCATCTCTCACCTATACTCTCACCAACCATCTCTCACCTAACAGTATTGTTGTGGCCTCCTAACTGGCATCCTAAGTCTTCTATTTTGCCACTCTCTCACTTCTATTTCACTTCAGCCGCTTTTAAAATTATAAGACAGATTATTTCTAACTCCGCTGCTCAAAGCCCTCCAGTAGCTTCCCATTTCATTAAAAATAAAAGCCAAGTCTTTATAGTAGCCTAACTGGTCTTCTCTGTTCTAATGCCCTGCCCCCATCCCCTCTTTACCTCTCTGACCTCCCGCTATCCTCTCACCTCAAGTACTTCACTGAGCTACACTGGCCTCCTTATCATCCCTTTTATACTTCAGGTACATCTCTCCTTAGGGCCCTGAAGGTGTTCCCTCTGCCCATAATGTTCTTCCCCTAGATATCTACATGGAATACTCCCTCATCTCCTTCAGGTCTTTTTTCAAATGTTACCTTGTCTGTGGTTATTCACAAGAAACTACTGAACCTGGGGTAGGAACAGTGGGAGTCTGTGGCACTATTGCCTGGGGCTACTCCTATCACAGCCCCCAGGTCCCATGGAAAACCATGAAAACCAACAGTTTCAAGGAAGAAGTGACTGACTTGATTTGAAGCAAAGCACAGAAAAAATCCACACCCCTGGCCGGGCGCGGTGGCTTACACCTGTAATCCTAGCACTTTGGGAGACCGAGGCGGGCGGATTGCTCAAGGTAAGGAGTTCGAAACCAGCCTGAGCGAGACCCCGTCTCTACCAAAAATAGAAAGAAATTAATTGACCAACTAAAAATATATATACAAAAAATTGGCCGGGCATGGTGGCGCATGCCTGTAGTCCCAGCTACTCGGGAGGCTGAGGCAGGAGGATCGCTTGAGCCCAGGAGATTGAGGTTGCTGTGAGCAAGGCTGACGCCATGGCACTCACTCTAGCCTGGGCAACAAAGTGAGACTCTGTCTCAAAAAAAAAAAAAAAAAAAATCCACACTCCTAGGCAATTTACATTCATGGTGGCAAATAAGCAAGACCAAGGGCTCAGCAAGCCAGAGGTTACTGTCATAGTTGGTGCAAGAAACAGACCAGCAACTAGACAGAAATTTAAAAGCGAAATCCAGAAAGGAGACTATCAGGGACCTTGATAAGTGTTCCACACATTCATGACAGAGATACTGGAGTGGGTCCAAACTATCCAAACATCTCTGGCTGGTCATAAGCCTGTGTACAGAGAGAGGAAGAAAAGATACGAGAAAGCCCAGTGGAAAATAACTGTTAGAGCAGACTTTTAAAATACCTAAACTTTGAAGGTGGCCCCAATACATGAAAAGATCTACAGGCAAGGTTGGAAACTTTACTGGCTCAGGTATTTTAGTACATTTGACCAATCATTAATTGACCACTAGGCTACCAGACATAGGTGTAACTCTAGCAAGCCAGACTTCAATGTTTTTTCATTTTTATTTTTTAATTGAAAAACAGGCACCAGGCACAGTGGCTCACACCTGTAATCCTAATACTTTGAGAGGCCAAGGCAGTAGAATCACTTGAGACTAGGAGTTCGAGACCAGCTGAGCAAAAGCAAGACCCCATCGCTACCAAAATAGAAAAATTAGCCTGGCATGGTGGCACTCACCTGTAGTCCCAGCTACTCAGGAGGCCGAGGCAGGAGGATCACTTGAGCCTAGGAGTTTGAGGTTCCAGTGAGCTATGATGACACCACTGAACACTGAGCTATGATGACACCACTGAATAGCCCAGGTGACAGAAAAAAACAGAAAAGAAACAGGCCAGGTTCAGTGGCTCATGCCTGTAATCCCAGCACTTTGAGAGGCCAAGGCAGGAGGATAGCTTCAGCTCAGTTCTAGATCAGCCTGGGCAACACAGAGAAACCCCCATCTCTACAAAAACTTTTTTAAAAAAATTAGCCAGGCATGGTAGCACGTGCCAGTAGTCCTAGCTACTCGGAAGACTGAAGCAGGAGAACAGGAGGATCACTTGAGCCCAGGAGTTGGAGGCTGCAGTAAGCTAGGACCACTTGAGGCAGGAATTCAACACTAGCCTGGGCAACACAGTTTGACCCTGTCTCTACCAAAAGATGAAATTAGCAGGCATGTACCTGTGGTCATAGCTACTCTGGAGGCAGGAGCATCACTCAGCCCAGGAGTTGGAGGCTGCCGTGATCTATGATCCCACCACTGCACTCTAGCCTGGTCAACAGAGTAAGACCCTGTCTCTTAAAAATAAACAAACAAATAAATAAATAAATCTGAGCAGGGACATTAGTAGTCACATATCACAGTGAGAAAAAGAGTCCACAGATTTAGTCAAGGCAAGTTACTAAAAAAACAACAATAACAAAGCAACAACCCTCAGAAGGAGAAAAAAACAGAAACAAAAGTTGTTACAATATATTATATAAAATATCCAGTTTCAACAAAAAATGATTAGACATGCAAAGGTGCAGAAAAGTATGACCCAAATCCAGGAGATAAAAAACAAAAGGAAACTGAAATTGTCCCTAAGTAGGCCTAAATGCCTGATTTCACAAAGACTTCAAATTTCTTTCTTTAAAGGACTAAAGAAAAATATGAGGCCAATGCCTTAAACAAACAGAAAATCTTAACAGAGATAGAAACTATTTTTAAAAAGAGCAAAACAGACAAGGCGCAGTGGCTCATGCCTGTAATCCTAGCACTCTGGGAGGCGCCGAGGTGGGCGGATTGCTCAAGGTCAGGAGTTCGAAATCAGCCTGAGCAAGAGCGAGACCCCGTCTCTACTAAATAGAAAGAAATCAACTGGCCAACTAATATATATATAGAAAAAATTAGATGGGCATGGTGGCGCATGCCTATAGTCCTAGCTACTTGGGAGGCTGAGGCAGTAGGATTACTTGAGCCCAGGAGTTTGAGGTTGCTGTGAGCGAGGCTGACGCCACGGCACTCACTCTAGCTTGGGCAACAAAGCGAGACTGTCTCAATTAAAAAAAAAAAAGAGCGAAACAGAAATTCTGATGTTGAATACCAGAGTAGAAGAAAATAAATCAACAGAAGTGAGCAATAGAAATTATCCAAAGACAGAGAAAAAACAATGAAGAAAAACAGCCTCAGAGATCTCTGGAACAATGTCAAGTGTACCAATATATACAAAGTAGAGCTTCTAGAAGAAGTGAAGCGAGAGGACAAAAAATAATGACCCAAACAATGCAAACTGATTATTTTTTAAAATGAATCTACAGGCCAGGCGTGGTGGCTCACGCCTATAATCCTAGCACTCTGGGAGGCCAAGGCAGGCGGATTGCTCGAGGTCAAGAGTTCAAAACCACCCTGAGCAAGAGCAGGACCCCATCTCTACTATAAATAGAAAGAAATTAATCAGCCAACTAATATATATATAAAAAATTAGCCGGACATGGTGACGCATGCTGGTAGTCCCAGCTACTCAGGAGGCTGACTGAGGCAGAAGGATTGCTTGAGCCCAGGAGTTTGAGGCTGCTGTGAGCTAGGCTAAAGCCATGGCACTCACTCTAGCCTGGGCAACAAAGCGAGACTGTCTCAAAAAAATAAATAAATAAAATAAAATAAACAGTGATTAAATTGTATAACTTTATAAATGTGAATTTAACATTTTTGTTTACATGTTTAACCAATGTTTATATATTAGACTACATCTTTAATTATGCAGTATTGTCTTGCCATTAAATACTATTGCTGTCTAAAACTTTAACAGAACTGTCCACCATCAGAAATGATTGTCCATCATACTACTTTCCCATTAATGAGAAAAAAAGAGAAAAAAAGAGAAAAAAATAAAATAAAACTGTAAAACTCCTAGAAAAAACAGGGGAGGCCAGGCACAGTGGCTCACGCCCATAATCCTAGCACTTTTGGAGGCCAAGGGGCAGGAGGAACACTTGAGGCTTAGGAGTTTAAGATCAGCCTGAGCAACACAGCAAGACCCCATCTGGATATAAAATAGAAAAATCAGGCTGGGCGCGGTGGCTCACGCCTGTAATCCTAGCTCTCTGGGAGGCCGAGGCGGGCGGATTGCTCAAGGTCAGGAGTTCAAAACCAGCCTGAGCAAGAGCGAGACCCGTCTCTACTATAATAGAAAGAAATTAATTGGCAACTGATTTATATATATAAAAAAAAAAAATTAGCCGGCAGGTGGCACATGCCTGTAGTCCCAGCTACTCGGGAGGCTGAGGCAGAAGGATCGCTGGAGCCCAGGAGTTTGAGGTTGCTGTGAGCTAGGCTGATGCCACGGCACTCACTCTAGCCTGGACAACAAAGCGAGACTCTGTCTCAAAAAAAAAAAAAAAAAAAATAGAAAAATCAGCCAGGTATGGTGGCACACAATTGTAGTCCCTGCTACTTGGGAGGTAGTGGCAGGAGGATTGAGCTTGAGCCCAGGAGTTTGAGGTTGCAGTGAGCTATGATGATTCCACTGTACTCTAACCCACACAGCAGACAGAGACCCTGTCTCAAAACAAAAAAAAGGAGAAAAATCTTCATTTTTTTGTTTGTTTTTAGTGAAAGAGTTCTTCAAAAACACAAACCATATAATTCATAAAAGAAAAAAACTGATAAGCTGGAATTCATCAAAATTTAAGACTTTTCATGTTTCAAAAAACAACATTCACCTTAAGGTACTGGCAGTAAGGATAGCCATATAGATCAATGGAACAGAATTGAAGAGTACAGACAGGAATACTCACATTTATAGTCAATTTATTTTTAACAAAGGTGCCAAGAAAATTCAACAGGAAAGGAAAATCTTTTCAACAAATGGTGCTGAGACAACTGAATATCCACATGCAAAAGAATATGCACTACCATATACCACATATAAAAATTAGCTCAGAATGCAAAAGAAATGAAAGCAGAGTCTCAGAGATATTTGCCCACCTATGTTCATTGCAGCATTATTCACAATAGCCAACAGGTAGTAGCAACCCAAATGTCTATCCACAGACAAATGGGCAAAGAAGTTGAATAGACATTTCTCCAGAGAAGATGCACAAATGGCCAACAAGTCTATGAAAAAATGCTCAGTTTCACTCATCATTAGAGAAATGCAAATCAAAACAACCACCATGCAGAGCTCATGTGCTCTTAAGAAAACAACGCCCCCTACAATATCACCTTATACCCTTTAGGACGGCTGCTACCGCCCCCCTAAACATTTATATCCCCGTAATATGCAGAAATAAAAAAAGTAAAAATAAAATTTTCAGAAATTGATTTGCAGAAAAAAAAGATGAGAAATGTTAAACATAGATAGGTTCGTACAAATCCATCACTACTAGTGGAATATCAAACCAAAGCACATGCTCTGCTGAGATTGAGTATATCATTGTTATAGATGCCATGTAGCAGAGTGGGTAAGTGAGGGCTCTGACACCAGACAGCCTGAGTTTCCATTCTAGTCTCACCACTTCCTGGCTGAATAACTTCAGGCAAAATACTTGCCTTCTCTGTGTCTCAGTTTCTTCATCT